TATGAAAGTTGAGAGGTGGATAAGCAACTGGTTAAAGGGGAGACTACAGCGGGTCATATTGAAAGGTGAACTGTCAGGTTGGAGGAAGGTTACTAGCGGAGTTCCTCAGGGATCAGTTTTGGGGCCAATTTTATTTAATCTTTTTATCGCTGACCTTGGCACCAAAAGTGGAAGTGTCCTGATAAAATCTGCGGATGACACAAAGTTGGGAGTAACTAATTCGAACCAAGTTAGTTCGAATTAACGTTGTAGTGTAGACTTACCCTTAGGGATTAATAACAAGAATTTTAGTTATAAGCTGGGGACACATCAGTTGGAAGTAATGGAGGAGGAGAAGGACCTTGAAGTCCTGGTTGATTATAGGATGACTGAGCCGCCATTGTGACATGGCCGTGAAAAAGGCTAATATGGTCTTGGGATGTATTAGGCGAGGTATTTCCAGTAGAGATAAGGAGGTGTTAGTGTCATTATACAAGGCATTGGTGAGACCCCATTTGGAATACTGTGTGCAGTTCTGGTCTCCCATGTTTAAGAAGGATGAATTCAAACTGGAACAGGTACAAAGAAGGGCCACTAGGATGATCCGAGGAATGGAAAACCTGTCTTATGAAAGGAGACTCAAGGAGCTTGGCTTGTTTACCTTAAGCAAAAGAAGGCTGAGGGGGGACCTAATTGCACTCCATGATTGCACTTCTTAAATATATTAGAGGGATAAATACCAGGGAGGGAGAGGAATTATTTAAGCTTAATACCAATGTGGACACAAGAACAAATGGATATAAGCTGGCTAGTAGGAAGTTTAGACTTGAGATTAGATGAAGGTTTCTAACCATTAGAGGAGTGAAGTTCTGGAACGGCCTTCCAAGGGAAGTAGTGGGGGCAAAAGATCTATCTGGCTTCAAGATTAAACTAGATGGGTTTATGAAGGGGATGGTTTGATGAGATAACATGATCTTGGTAACTAATTGACCATTCATTATCAGTGGGAATAGGTCAATGGAGGGATGATAGGAGTTACTATAGATAACTTTCTGGGTGTCTGGCTGATGAGTCTTGCCCACATGCTCAGGGTTTAGCTGATCGCCATATTTGGGGTCGGGAAGGAATTTTCCTCCAGGGTAGATTGGCAGAGGTCCTGGAGGTTTTCTGCCTTCCTCTGTAGCATGGGGTACAGATCACAGCTAGAGGATTCTCTGCATCTTGGGGTCTTCAAAGTATTTGAAAGCTTCAATATCTGAGATATAGGTGAGAGGATTATTCTAAGAGGGGTGGGTGAGATTCTGTGGCCTGCACTGTGCAGGGGGTCAGACTAGATGATCATAATGGTCCCTTCTGACCTTAAAGTCTATGAGTCTATGAGAACACAGACACAGAATAGTCAACGAAGAGAACAGTAAATGAGATTCAGTTCAGCAAGTGGCACTGGCAGCAATAAAAAAAACCCCAACAACAATAAAAGTGCCAGCCTATCATAAGTAGGCTTGACAAAATTCGATTTTTTAATTATTTCAATGGATGACACTGATGTTTATTTTAATCACTTATGATTTTTATTCCTTCCCGACCCCAAATATGGCGATCAGCTAAACCCTGAGCATGTGGGCAAGACTCATCAGCCAGACACCCAGAAATTTTGTTCAATTTTCAAAGTTGAGCAAAATTATGGGTTTTAGGGTTTTTCTACTACTAGGAGGGCTGTGGCCCCTGCTCGCTACGCTCTCCAACCCTCCTCTCTCTGGGGGTAGGTGTCTGGATGGGGGGAGGGTGCAGGAGTGGGCTGGGGGCAGGGTGTCTGGCCAGGGGAGGATGCAGGAGCAGGCTGGGGTTAGGTGTCTGGCTGATGGGAGGGGGCAGGAGCAGGCTGCGGGTGTGGAGTACTGGTGGAAGGGGGTGTGTGAATAAGGCTGGGTTGTGGGGAGGCCACGTAGCTCATGGCTCCTGCCTCCCGGGAGCACTATTAGTAAGGGGTTGGAGGTGTCAAGGGAATGTGAGAGAGGGTTGAGGGTGCAGGGTCTCAGCTGAGGGCGTGTGTAAGAGGGCTGACGGTGCGAGGAGGGAGGTGGCTGGTGGCTGAGGGGCTCCGAGACACAGAGTGATGTGATGATGCCACTTTGTCATCCTGCAGATAAAAATTTTTATATAGAGAGATTTATTGATGTAAGTTTTCACAAATTATGGGAAGAGTAAATTATTTAAAGACAGAAACTGACTCAATAAGTTAAAGCTCTGTCACATTAAAACACAAATTACTATAATCACATCAAAATATACTAAGTAATAGTCCTGAAGCACCTCAGAGACTAACAAAAAATGTAGATGGTATCATTAGCTTTCATGGGCACAACCCGCTTCTTCAAATGAAGGGGTCCAGTTTGTAAATAAATATCAGAGGGTGTGTCTATACGACATCCCTTTTCTCGAAAAACAGATGTAAATTAGACATTTTGAAACTGCAAATGAAGCCGGGATTTAAATTTCCCGGGCTTCATTTCCATAATGGCAGCCACGGTTTTTTTCAACACGGGGCTATTTGATAGAAAAACGGCAGTTTAGACGGGCATCTTTCAAAAATAAAACCTTTTTTCGAAAGATCCTGTACTCAAAAAGTGAGGTTTACAGGATGTTTCGAAAAAAGGTTTTATTTTCGAAAGCTCAGTTTCTTTATGAAATTACACTACTGAAAAGAGTTTTTACAGTTAGGCAATAGCCCACATTGGGAAACCCAGCCCATTCTGTTAGAGGAGAAATATCTGACCACATCCCATTTCAGTTTCATTGAATCTTAATTGAAAATTAGTCTAAAACTTAACTTTAAATATTTAAGGTACAGCTCTAACCATCATGAATACATAATAGCACTGAACTACAAAGAGATCTTAAATTTACTTAAAATTATAATTCAACTTAATTGCAACTCACAAATATTTAGTCCACTAGGATATCTTATATTTCAGTTGATTAATTTTCTCCCTTCAGCCCTCTGTAGTGGCTTTAAAGTGATTTTTGTGCTCACAGAAAGTCTAAATGGAAAGGTTGCAGTTCTCTACAGACAGAACAGATACAGCCGTGAGTAGAAAAAGCAAGGTTCCAGGCATCACCTTTCAAGTCAGAGCCAACAATGCAGCTTACTAATCCTGTTCATACAGTACTTCTCTTTTCTATAGGTGATACCATGTAGCATGCCAATCTGTTGCCAAACAGATAATGGCTTTATATTACAGTGGTTCCCAACCTTTTTTATGCTGCAGACTGGCAAACCCACTCACAAATCTTTGGTGGACCCGCAACATTTTACGTGCCTATTCATTATGCAAATAATTAATTTGCAAATAGAAGTTCCCAGCTGCCTAGCCCCAACCCAGCCCCTTGCTCCCAAATGCCTAGTACCCTTTGACTCCCACTCCTATGCCCCATACCCTGTGACCCTTTAACCTCTGACTCCTACAGCCCATGCCAACACCCTCTTGCCCATAACCCCACCACGCCCTCATCCAACACCCATTTGCACCACCTCACCCCTGCACTCACCAGAGCAAGGCTGCCCCCTCTAGAGAGCATGGTCAATACTGCCATGTGGGCAGGGAGAGCAGCCCTCCTCCTTCATGCCCTCCCTTTCCCCAAGCACGTCTTGTGCTCCCATGGATAGAGCGGGGGAGCACGGAGCCCCAATCAGCCACCATTACGGAGGGGAAGCGCCTCCTGCTCTGCCTCATCCTGCCACCGCCAGCAAAAGCAGCTGCACAGTCAGGGGAGAAGGGTAAGTGTAGTCCTGGGGAGGTTCCTCCTGCCGCCGCTTGCAAAAGTGGCCACGCGGGCGGGGGACTGACCATTGGCGGCATGCGCGCCTTCCTCCTCCTTTGCACCCTCTCCCTCCCAAGTGCAGTGGAGAGGAGAGAGAAAAGGCAGCTCCTGCTGCCACCACGGCTGCTGGAGGTGAGTTGCCAGGAACAGCCCGCTTGAGCTCTGCCAGCTGCCGTGGCCTGGCAGCCAGTGGTTTGCAGCCCGGCGGTTGAGAGCCACTGTTTTATTATACCAAAAAAGTGCAACAAAAACAGCATGTAGAGGGGTGTCACTAAGATGCTTTGACAGACTACTGAACAGCTAACACTGTTCAGAGTTTGGGCCAGAACTTAACTGGTGAATCAGTAGTCAAAGACTCACTATCCTACAACTAAGCAGACAAGTGATCCAGTTACCTAGAAAGAGCGCAGGTGTTGTAAATGATAAAGCTTTTTTATTTTATAGTAACCTAATCAAATCTCTGTGGAGTTCCACACCAGAACCTTTCCTCTTGCTTGGAGTAACTATGTCACCTGAATACCAGCATTGTCTCAGCTTCTGATGAAAATGGAAAGCACTCAGATGCACTTCGCTGAGTACAGTGTCACTTAATGGATACTGCAGGGAACACTGCTGAGCTGATGATCAGTCTTTGATACAAATGACAATTCAATGTAAGCTGAACTCCATACAGAAGTACCTATTTATTTGCATTTGGCCTTCTCGGAGGCCACATGAGTACAGGTGCAGTGAGTACAGTTGTAATGTAGGGGCTACATTAGTATACCATGAACTTAATTCAACTGAAATCAAGAATGGGGGGAGGTGGGGAGGGAGTTACAATGGTTATATGGATAAAACAGAAGCAAAGAACAAAAGGGCACATGGGGGAGGGAAACCACTACCACACATCTACCAATACTTCGATATCGCAGGATCTGATCTCAGCCATTTGTAGTATATGACCCAATTTGGGGTAGCGTGGTCAAGAAAGGTCACATATGGACCACTGGCAGTCTTGAAAATGTTCAGTGTGTTTCAAAATAGTCTATATTTATAAATTGTCTGACCACTGAAACACAGAGATATAGTCTTCTATTGTAAGATTTTGCTAAAATGACATATAAACACTATGTGAAAGTAATAGGATTTCTTAATTTAAGGGTAAGAATAGGCTAAAATCTATTTTGGTTACCCCTCCCCCTCTTCGTTTTTTTTACCTTAAGTCTCTGATTGAAAGCATCAAACAGCAGTTTGATTCCGTCCTGAGTCAAGTTAAGGATGAGGTCATGGCTAAGAGGAGACTGTAAAACAAAAACAGAAGTTGGCTTAATGAAGAATCCTTTAGATGAAAAGCTGAGTGTCACCACATATATAAAAAGCAAAGAAAAGTATTTTCCCCAAATAGCTGGATCAACTGGCACCAGGCAAGCCAATATTTTGTTCTATATATATATGCCTAAACCAAACTGTATTTGACAAACCCCTTTCAGTTTCTCTATTTAATGAAACAGAAGTGTCTTTGTTAAGTTCACACCTTACATGAACTCACAACCTAGCAATACTATAGTTTTCTTGAGCTTTTAAGATGGAAAAAGGACAACTGAAACTGACATTTCAGTTTTAGAGTGAAAAATACATCATACAGGAGACATTTCAGAGGGGTAGTCATGTTAATCCGTAACTGAAAAAAATTAAAAACAACAAATAGTCCTGGAGTACCAAAGGGTACGCCTACACTACAACGTTAATTCGAACTAACTTAGTTCAAATTAGTTAATTCGAACTAAGCTAATTCGAACTAACGGATCTAGACTAAAAAACTAGTTCGAATTAGCGTTTTGCTAATTCGAACTAGCATGTCCACATTAAGTGGACCCTGAACCAGGCTTAAGGATGGCCGGAAGCAGTGCCGGCAGGGCATCAGAGGAGGACTTAGAGCATGGAGATGCTGTCTCAGGCTAGCCGAGGACTGTGCTTAAAGGGTCCCGACCCCCACCCCGGACAGACAGTTCTCAGGGGTGCCCCGCTTGAAAACCAGTCCTGGCTTGGAGTGCCCGGAGTGCCCACACTGGGCACATCACACCACTCGGCCATCAGCCCGGCTGCACTTGCCGCAGGCTGCCATCTGGGGAGAGGGGGCAATCGGGGGGCTGCAGGAGAGGTTCCACCCCAAAAGCCCGCAGAGCCAGCCCAGTCCTCCCCATCGGGGACTCGTATCCCATTCCTCCCTCACCTCCTTCCACTTACCCTTCCCTAGCCCCTCTTCTTGATGTACAAAATAAAGATAACATGTCTTCCAAAATGGAATCTGTCTTTATTGAACAAAACTGGGGGAGACTGGAAAAAGGAGGTGGGAGAGGGGAAGAGAGAGGCTGGGAGAGGGGAGGGCAACTAAAATGATCAGGGGTTGGGAACAGGTCCCATATGAAGAGAGGCTAAAGAGACTGGGACTTCTCAGCTTAGAAAAGAGGAGACGGAGGGGGGACAGGATAGAGATCTCTAAAAGCAGGAGTTGGGTGGAGAGGGTGCATACAGAAAAGTTCTTCATTAGTTCCCATAAAGAAGGACTAGAGGACACCAAAGGAAAGGAATGGGTAGCAGGCTTCAAACTAGTAACAGAAAGTTCTTCTTCACAAAGCAAAGAGACAACCTGTGGAACTCCTTGCTGCAGGAGGATGTGAAGGCTAGAACT